AAATAAGTAAATAAGGAAGGAACCAGTTTTTTTTTTTTAGTCGAATGCTTACAAAAAGGGCATGTAAAAGCTTCTCCTCTTATCTCTACTTTGCTCTAAAATGTCAGTTAACTAAACCAAAGCTCAATCCCACAAAAAGGGCAAGTAAAAGCTTCTCCTCTTATCTCTACTTTGCTCTTCAGTAAATGATAGTAAGATAGCCAGAGAAGCTCCAGTAATGCATGAAGTGATTCCTGTTCTCTGCAGTTCACATGAAGCCATCTTCTTATCAGCAGGGTATTACTCAATTCCTATAGTCCATAAACATAATCTAACCAAAATTAGTTGTGGCTAAATCCCACTAAATTAGTTGGCTGGCTCAGTAGCTTAAGTATCTGGCTGCAGAGCTAGAGGTTGGATGCGTCCATAAACATAATCTAACCAAAATTAGTTGTGGCTAAACCCCACTAAACTGGATGGCTGGCTCAGTAGCTTAAGTATCTCGCTGCAGAGCTAGAGGTTGGATGCTTGATACCCTACTGTGCCTTCTGCAAAGTACAGGTTACCTGTGTAGCCTTGGGCAAGCTGCACAGTCCTAGGGCATCCCTAGAAAAATAAATTGTTCTCTATCTGGAAAACCCTGAAAAAGGTTGCCATAAGTCAGAATTTATTTGATGGCATGGGATGATGATGATTAAATCCCGCTAAAAGCACTAGTGTGGGATTCATGTAATCATTTGTTTGTTTAATTTCTACCCTGCATTTCTCCCTGTATGATGTAGCATAGACCCAATTGATTTCAAAGGCTGTATCTTTAAGAAGGCTGCAAAAAAATAAAAAAAAATCACAGGAACCACCAATCATTAGCTCCCCTGACAAACATTTTGCTAGACCGTACTAGAGGCGATACCCTATCCATCCTCTGAATAAATCCTTTGAAAGGGCCTTCTCCCCTAATCTACTATGCTCCTAAAACTCTACTGTAAATCTTATCCAGTGCTACACTTGTACATGGAGTCTACATAACATAAAATAATGCACTGCTAAGCAGAGGGCTGGCAGGTGGGGAAAATCTCTAGTTGCTCATGGATAATTGAGTTTGTATGAGAATATGTAGAACAGATTTTAGGGGTGGAGGACATTGTTACTTACTTCAGGATAAATTAAGCCCATTTGGGAAGCACACATCCGTTTGATCCATCTGTATATATTATTCTGTTTCCACATCTTCAGCTGTCTATAATGTATGGAGTTGGAATACAGAGTAGGGGAGTGGAACAGGGCAATATTAAGACAGCCGAAAACTTTCTCTAGCAGAGTTTATCAGCACGTTCATAAGGATGGGAAGAGACAGAGCAATGGGGAGTGGATGAAACTCGTGTGGAAAAAAATCCCAAGGTTTTTTACAGAGCAAGAAGACAGTAGTGGTTCAAGGTGTCATCCTTTTGACCTCATGTCCTTTCATTTTTGTTTTAAAATGTTTCTGCCACTGCCCTCCTGTGGTGATAGTGGAGTCTGTCCTCAGCAGTGACAGCCCATCATCAGAGCTTGAAGGGAACACTTTAAAAAGTAATGGTGCTATCAGTATGTGCTGTTCTGCTGCATTAAAAGAGTAATAATGTTCCCTTTTACTGGTATCACAACAGGTCCCCAAATCATTACCTCTTTATCCAAAGAACAGGGATGCTAATGTTTTCCTGCCTGCGGATGAGAGAACAAGGACTGCCAACATGGTTGATGCCACTGTGAATTGTGGGGAATTTCCTGGTGTTCCCTGTAGAGTTCTCATATTAGCAAAAAGAGAGAGAAAGTTTGCACAAAATTGCTGAGACATTTGAGCAAAAGTGTGCAATTGCACAAATTTCCCCAAACAAAGACAACTGCTGTTTTCTTTTCAAATCTGAAGCAACAAATGAATTGTTTGCATCTTTCTTAACAATCTACCAGCCTTCAAATGTTTGCTCTGTGGGCTATGTGTGTGCTTTTATTTTCAAGAGGAAAAGAGACATTTTGCACAAATTACAGGAACAGTGAAGGAGGGAGAAGAACTCTTTGCTATGCACTTGGCTGGAGGCAAGGAAACTGGTGGGGCTTTAAAATTCCTTGCAGCATCAAGACAGCCTAAATCAATGAGAACAAGGAATTCAGTGAGCCTTCTTTCCATCTGTCTTGAAGAATGATGCTACCATCATCTATAACAAAATTTAAAACAGAGAACTATGGTACATTAAAGATTACTTGACTTAGCATGAGTTTTCCTGGATTGCAATCCACTTCCTCAGACACCACTTAATGTGGCTGATGAACCAGATTGCAATCCATGAAAGCTCACATGGAAATAAATATTTTGGCTAACGTGCCATGGCTCCTCTGTTTTTGTTACACAGGTTGACACAAAATAAGGCTGTGACCACACATATATTTGTCATAAGTTGATGAAAACTTCTCTATACAGTGCCTTGGCATTTAAATTTCTGTCATTGTTCACACAAAAACAATGTTTAACTGTCGCAAGAAGGGTGCATTTCAAGTGTCCACACATGGCAAAAACAACAGAGCAAATACTTTAACATGGGGCACGGATACACTATGTAAATGTAACAGGAGATGGCTTGGGGTTTTTGAAGTTGGTTTAAAGTCACATGGTATTCATGTGGTCTATGAGTCGGTGTGTGCATCATCTTGGGAAAACTTTTAATCCATTTTAAAATTGTGTTGTACATATATTGGTCGAAGAGGGTTACACAGGTTTTTGGAATCATTGCATTTGAAGTTTTGTCCTGCCCCTGCTTGCCCTTGCTCTGGCTGCCTCTCACAGCCATTTATCACTGCTGCTGTGGAGTCATTTTCAACACTTTAAATGTTTTTATTTCTTGCAATCTGGTATAGCACTAGTTTAGTATGATAGCTAGAAAAAAAATAAAGCAGAGGTTTCCCTGCAGTCCAACGCATGTGCATGGAGACAGGCAGGCAGGCAGGCAGGCAGGCACGCGCGCGCACACACACACACAAGGTAGAGATGGAGAGGCAACTACCGAAAAGGCTGGCTAGAGGGAAGGCACATCATTGACTGGCAAAGAGGGACTGACCAGAGACACTGACATCAGCAGCTTCTACATTTGGAAAGGAGGGAGTGTTTCCCCCTCACCCAACCTTGCTTTCTCTGCAGGCTCTTTTTTGAGATTGAACTGCAGGGTTTTCCTACAACCCAAAACCCGTGATCCTGGCATCCTTTCTTGACACATCCCACAGATACAATTTACACTGACAAAGACATTCACATGTGCCATAATGATTCAAAATAAATTGATTTCACAAGCAATTTAAAACAAATGACCCTCTCATGGCCAAGTAAAATACTGTACCTTCTTACCAGGCCATGACCCTCTCATGGCCAAGTAAAATACCTTCTTACCAAGCAAAAAAAAAAAAAACAAAAAACAAAAAACAAAAAAACCTGTGCTTTCCTATATGTCCTGTAGTTGGATTTTTAAAAATCTATTTCAAACATGCTAAGCCCAGTTTAAAAACTGGGTTTAGCACTGTTTTTTTCCTTCATGTAACCAAGCCCATAGTCAATCTCTCTGAAAACTGTTGTTGCTATTGTAATCAGTATAATTATTGGTTATATTCAATTACATAAGGTGGGCAAGAAGACTTTTTGTTCTATGGACCCTTAGTTTCCAGTGGAAAATAGAAATAAAACAGACCTGGCTCATCCACCTTTCATACTCAAAGAGAAATAAATGACCACAAAAAATGTGACACGGGTGTCAAAATAATGTGATAGATGTGTCTTTGGAAACCACTCACTTTTTCTGTCCACAGTTATAGCCCGTGTTTAAGGACATAAAAATTACAGTAGTTGTGTTTAAGATAAACAGAAACCATCAAACATTATAATTTCATTATGAGAACATGGTACCCCCATCTGGACTATTTCTGCACACCACCAGTAATACATATATCACTAGATGAAAATCACCCGTCCAAAGAGGAGCGTCTTACAATAAGTCCATTAAGTACAGCATGTAAAAAGAACGGAGTCACTGCATGGCACCACCTACAACAAATCACTTCGCCCTCTTGGCGTCAGAGGGACCAAGATGCATTTCAATCATCATTTAATTTTATAAAGTATCTCAGTGCCTAACTGCATATCAAAACTGGTGCAATCTGGTATAGCAATCTGACACACCTAACTGATTAGCAGCTTGCATTACTGCAAAGTCACCATAGACATATTGGCATCTCCTTCCCTCTATAACATATGATGGATTTGAAAGCAAGGTTGGGGACCACTGCTCTATAACATATGATGGATTTGAAAATAGCAGATCCTTAGGCTTTCATGTTGAAAAGACTACATTTTCCCCCTAAGAGCAAGTATTAAAAGTGATCAATGCTGACTGCAGTTGTGAATACATCGTTTAAATATCTTTCTTCCAAAAATACTGATAGATTTGCTGGTTTAGGTTTAAAAGCCATTCTTTTGCTTGTTTGTGTATGCGTGATACTAAATATATATTGAAGATTATCTTTCCTTTGAATATTGAGTTTATGGTATCAAATCTTGCTTTCTGTCTTCTTAGGAGCAGCTTCAATAGCCTCAAGAGAGGACCGATGCTGAAGTTTCAATCATACTCAGATTTGCTGAACTGTAATAAACTGTTTAAAAGCAAACAAGCAAAGAAAGCACACTTGAAAGAAAGAGAGAAAAAGAAAATCCACTCAGTTTGTAGAACTTGTTTTTCGGAATCGGAGGCATAGCAAGGAAGAATGAGTATGCTCTTAATCGTAGTTTTGGTTGGTTGGTTTTTTGAGCAATAGTTCTAGTTATATATTTGGTAATTATAGGAGCGAACAGTGAATTTATAGATGCACCATTTTTCTCCTAACGGGTCATCCTTGCGCCTTGTCCTGGTCTGCAGAGTTTATACTGCAAACACAGACCTCTGCATGACATCCCTTCCCTTCTCCCCATTCTCCTCTTTTTCCTTCCCCTGCACTTCCTGTTTTACCTAAATTTGAAACTCTGTGGCAGGAAGTGGCCCATCTTGCAGTCAAGGCGAACTTGGTTGATCTGCTTCAGCAGGTCCCTCTTGCTGTAGCTGTATCCGTTGAAAACTGTGCTCCCAAAGAGCAGCTTCCCTCCAGCATACATCTGTTGACAAACAGGCAGGAAGGAGGGGGACAAAAAAAATGCTTTGCAATATAAAAAAAATAATAAAACAAAATAAGACCAAACTCCAAGGCCTGGACCAAATGGTTTCCTTTTCCTGTTTTGCACAGGAGTCTTAAATGTTTTCACTCAGACACAAGGGGCTTTGACAACTACTCTCACACATGCTTCCTGCACATCTCTTAACACTTCGGATGCCAAATGAAACAGGACTGACTCAAGGAAAACAGAAAGGGTGCATGTCCTATTGCGGCTTGACTACTGGAAGCTGTACACGGACTCTTTGGGGCTGCTCTGTCTCTGGTAGTGAAAGTGCAGCAAAATTCCAAGGTTTACTCTTGAATATATTGAAAACGAAATAGTCCAAAAAGTCTATGTTGTTCCTTCTATTTTTAAAAGCAATTATTAAGAGCAGAAGAAGAGCCCTGCTGGATCAGACCAAGGGCCCATCTAGTCCAGCTTCCCCACCAGATTGCTCTGCGAGTGCACCACACAACTAGAGACCTGTCTCCTGAGACCCCTCCCCTGCATCTGGTATACTGGAGTTACATGTATGAGATTATGTTCCCTACAAGAACTACAGCAGTGTTGAATTGTTCAAGAACATTGTGAACAAGAATCACTAGCACATATATTTTTGCTTCTATCAGTGCAGGCCTCTGCATGTCTACTCAGAAGTAAGCACCACTGAAGTCAATGAGACTTCTTCTGAAAAGGTAAACCTATGTGTTCAGTAAGGTGTCAAGGCAACAGTAGGTAACCTGGGAGTGCCACTGTGGACATCCAGAACCCATTAAAATTGCCGCTGATTTTATGGCCATCATGGCAGTAACAGGGCATGTACAGTGGCTCTTTACAGTAAGAGCAAAGATAACATACTCCAGTATACCATTAAGATGAAAGAAATGAAAATTCAAGTGGCAGTTTTACTGAAAGATAACTTGGAGTTCTACAGATTTCTTTGTGGTTCTGGGGCCACAGGTTCCCCACTGCTGTCAATTTCAGTAGAAACATTTGGGCAACAACAGGTGAGAAGCAAAGCTTGTAAAAATGGTTAAGCTAAGAGACTACTTTTGAACAAATATGCAGTATAACTGTAAGCAATGACCTACAATTAAGATACAAGATCAGTTGTAATGTGCTGATGTGGCAAAACCCTCTCACATGCCTGAACTGCACCTGTTTTGGCATAGCCTTGACTAGGTAAAATAAGCTGTCCTTTGAACGCATTCTCATTTCAAAGGGGTCCTACTCTAGGGATAATCTACCTGCTGCATTTATATACATTTGAGGACACCAATCATGCTGTCTCCCCTGGCCTTTTCAGAGGCATTCCCTGAGAACTGTACTACCCTGTTTCCCCCAAAATAAGACCTAACCCAAATAAGCCCTAATATGTTTTTTCCGGATGCTTGTAATATAAGCCCTACCCCAAAAATAAGCCCCAGTCCTGTGAAACCCCACCCTCCACCACTGTGCAACAATCAGAAGATGATGACATCACTGTATTTGGATAAATGCAGATTGTAGTACAGTACACAAAAAAAATTAAACATCCCATGAAAATAACCCCTAATGCGGTATTTTGATTTGGATAAATGCAGATTGTAGTACAGTATGCGAAAAAAATTAACATCCCATGAAAATAAGCCCTAATGCAGTATTTTGTTTTTTGTGCTTTTTTTGGAGCAAAAATTAATAAAAGACCCTGTCTTATTTTCGGGGAAACACGGTATGAATTTGAGTGACAAGTTGTACCATCAGATTTTTGTGGCAACTAGGAAAATACTTACCTAAAATGTTTGTGTGACAACCTGTGGGTGTAATCCATTCATGGCATTTTTCCTGGCCCTTGCAATCCCAAACATTTTTCATTAATCCATGGTGAATTTTTGTGTGTGTAGAACAAATCATATTTCACACACTAATGTTACATTGTCAAATGTTTACCTACATATAGCATTTGTTCTGGGTCATCAAGTTGGAGTTGACTTATGCTGACCCTAGTGGAGTTTCAAGGTATGTGAGATACATTAGCTGTGGTTTTATCAGTTCAGCCCTTTCAGTGGCCATCCATGGATTTGAATTCAGGTCTCCGGAGTCCTAGTGTGTTGCTCTGTCCGCTACACTACACAAGGCAGGCACATATCATATATAGTAATATGTAAATGGACATATATATATAAAAGGCAGTGACTAAAACTGTAGGGCAATGCTGGGGGGAACCTCTTTCATTCCAAGAGCACTAATTCTCCATACAGGAGATCTTTTGGAATCCGACCATCAGCCATTCTCACGACATGCCCAAGCCAATGTAAACACTGCCCATCACGCTACTGAGATTGGTCCTGTCGGCTGCTGAAAGGGTGGGGGGTGGACAGGGAAGAGCCCCTTACAGGTTACTTTGCATAAGCAGGGTCCCTTCAGCCTGAGAGCTATCGCTATAACATGTACGGTTGTTTTCCAGAGTAAGCTCTAGAGGAAAAATTACAGGGAGAAAATGAGCAACAGAACAATGGAAGGAGGATCTCTGAGGAAAAATGGAGCCAACTGGAAGGAGGACAAGACAGCATGGGCCAAAATGAGAATGGGATTTGGAGAACTGCACTGATGCATGCAATTCTCTCCAAGCTCCTAGATGCATACAGAGTGCCGTTCATGCCTACAAACACATACCTGGGGATTCTCTATAGACCTTAAAATGAACGAACATAGGTAGTGATGGAGCCTCATGCCGTGCTGCCATATCCATTCCGTTTAGTTCCTGGGGACATTGATAAGACAGCGTACTTGGGTGGCCTGCTCAGGGGAATGGACAGATGTGACATTCAAAACAGAGAAGAAACCAGAAGAGTTAACTGGGCAGGGAAGGATGGGACATGGTTGTCTGTCCTCTGAGGGGGGTGCGGTGGGGACTGTAGAGGAAATCAGGTGGGGACAAAGGGTGGAGGGGCATAGAAGGACCCCTGGGAGCCAGGAGAAATTGGTGGCAATGTTCAGGAAAATGAGGTGGAGCACATAAAGAATGAGATGTGTGGGTGGAGGGTGTGGGGAACGCAAGGATATGAGATCAGGGAGGTGGGAAGAGGGACTCAGAAACGGCAGGAGCAATCCTCGGAAATGAGTAGCTGGCAACCACATGCTGGCCTTGTATGATTTAGTGTTGCTTCCGTTCAAGGAACAAAGAGTACATTGTGAAGCCAAACTTCTGTGTTCTGCCTCGGAACTTCGTCTCTCCCACAACAACTCTGCAGGTTTAGAGGATCAGCAGTTCCCTCTGGTGGATTACAACTTCAAGTGCAACAGGCAACTAGGTGCAAGTATTGTGACACCAGTCCTGACACAATCTCTCATAGCTGGGGCAAGATGTTCTTACGGTTTTAAAGTCATTCTTGTAAAAGCAGTCATGAACCTTTTCTTTATTTTTCAAATGTACTGGGAGGTAGTTTGCAGGATATGAGTTATCAGAAAAGTCAAATGAGCACAGCAAACAAGTGGTCCTACTCTGAACCAAAGTCTTTGGGCTTCGCCGAATCATGCTTTCCCATCAGGACTAGCCAACGTCATTTCGATGCCAGAGGTGAAGCAGGTAATCATGCCCCCTTCCCCAAGCCAAGGTACAGAGTACCAAGGGCCAGTCACATTCCCTGATCCCCGGCAATAAAAGTAATGTGACAGTAATTTTAATATTTGATCATTTGCTACCTTTCATGACAATCCAAACAATTCTGTCAAATGTTAGGGCCGACCCTGCTTCTTGTTACACTTTACCACTGAAATAGCACCCTAGGACAGAGGCTCTTTTCTTAGCTGTTTTCTCATTTTCTACGAATGAGTCACTTTTATCGTTTTCCTTTATAATTATTTTTTAAAATACTATCTGTTTTGGCATTTTTACGGAGGCGGAAAAAGCTAAGTAGACAATCTAGACTTAATCTTTTTAATTAATGCAAATTCTGTCTCAAGCTGCAATCTTGTATACAAGTCCCACTGCACACCATGGGACTTATCTCCAAGCATACAAGGGTTGGACTGTGCCGTAAATTAACTTCTCTCCCTGTTGACAACTGAGATGTTCTAATCCTGAATAACAGCATTTGCTGTGCTAGTGGCTACTCCATCAGCAGAGGACAGATGGACTGTGTATTTCTAGAGCTGAACAAGCAGTCATTAGGTACAGAACAAGGGGCAGGTGCTTGTGATTGTGCATAATTAGCCCTGACGAGCCCTGCGTTCACAGCTAGTACAGTTAATGAAGATTGGTTTTGTTTTCATTCTCTGAAAATCCCTTTGTGTTGCAATATTGCTCTTAAAGCAGCCACTCTCTTGCCATTTTGACCACCTTATAGTGTACGTAAGCAGTTTTCAGTGGAATGATTTATTAGCCCCCTGGATGTCTAAATCTTGCTATATCTATATATAGGCTGCCTTATATACACATGCCTTTCATACCCTTTCTTTGTAGAGAAGAGAAACACTATTTGTGCATTTATTAATTTTTCTATATGTGCTATGGCAGTGAAAACTCATGTGCTATATATGTACGTACAGCATGACCTTGGGCCATGGTCTTGATAAATGTCTCTGCTGTTCCTTCAAGCTGGAGGGGAAGATGTAACTTCATGGTATGTCAAAGAGGAATTTCAAGTAAACATTCTCCAGTTAATGTTAAGGGTAGTCATAAGATGGTTTTTAAAACAGAAGCTCTTCATGTGACCAATTCTCCTGGCCATATTGTACTCCCTTTTTCTTCCCCCTAGTAGGAATACCCCAATGGCTGCATAAACATTCCATACTTGCAAGAGTAGAAAAGCTGTCTTTATTCATGCACTCTTGAGCAGGCAGCTACTTTGGCAACTATCTCGATATAAACAAGTCCTGTTTTCAGGAAACAGTCCTAGATGCCACCAAAGGCAACCACCACCCAATATAGCAATACAATATGTGGTGGTGGTTACCTTTGATGACAACTACAACTGCTT